GGGGGGGGGGGAGAGAGAGAGAGAAACATCGATGTTAGAGACACACATCGATTGGTTGCCTCCTGTGTGCTGCCTGACAGGGGCTGGAGATTGAACCTGCAACCCATATATGTTCCTTTGACTGGGAATCGAACCCAAGACCTTTAGTTGTGTGGGACAACACTGTAACCACTGGGTCACACCGGCCAGGGCGGTCTGCACCACTTTTGTTTGTTTGCGGAGGCAGCTAGCAATTGCATACTTTTGAGAAGTTCAGAGGTAGAGGATATTTACTGACAGGCAAGATTTTTTTGCAGTCCTTTGAAAGACCACTATATTAGCGGGACTACATAGTATACCTGATAGATATAGATGAATAAATAGCGCAACATCTTTTATTCACAGTTCTTGCAACCTGACCTTTATTTGGTGACTTAATTAGCTGCTCTTGACACTATCCATGCAAATAAAAACATAAATATTTTCTTTATAAACATTCCAACTATTCAAAATTTTCTGAAATTCAGACTATCTGGAGGGAATGGGGAAAGTGGAAGCAGCAAGTATATTACATTTAATTAACAATGTCTTTTTTGAGAATTGTTTCACAAGAAGATTTAGTAAAATTAAAAGTTTTTTGTTACTTAAAAATAAAGCTAAGATAATAATTTTCCAGTGGGTGCTTAACATAAAGTCTTTTAAGTACATCATAAAATTTGACTTCACATGTACTTCTGAGTGCAAGATAAGCTTTCTTTTCAGGTCCTCCTCTGCACTTACAATATTTTGGAATAAAATGAGGGAGGCAGGAGGAAGTCAACTCCTTTCACAAGAAGAAAAAAAAAACACCTTTTAAGGCCATGCACTTTTAAAACACTTTACTAAGACTCTTCAGGACTTTTATGTATGTGATCCCATCTCTGGGGCCACTAAACAATAAATTGAACAGCATAACTTCAAAATGGCATACTTGAAAATTTTATATTAAAAACACACCAAAAAGATCTATCTTTGAAACAGCAACGTGACTGCCGTTTCTGTAACTATAAAAATTCTTGACAAGAGACTTCTAATATCGTTTTCCTTCTAATATCCACATCCTGTGATTTTCACCATCTCAGATATTCCTACTCAATATCACCACCCATCTCCCCTATCCAAACATCCCCCCCCACACACACTGGCAAATATCATCTTTAAATATCGCCATACAGTAGACTTCTAAAAAGAGAAATGAGAGATATTCATCACAAAAGGACAGAAAAGGAAAGAAATCACTTCCTAGTTTCCACATTTCCCCTCTTCCAAGCCCGCCTCCTCCCCTCATCAGAATTATTTGCACAGTTCACACTGAGCCAGGTAGCTGGGGTTCCATTCATTGCAGAATGTTACTGGGCATTCATAAAAGAGCACATTTTTTTTCTGTCTTCTTCCCTCCCCCAGACAATAATAAAACCCCAAACATCTTTAATAAATTTGGGTGGGGTGCAGGAGCAAAAGTACAGGCTGGGTTGGTACAGGCTTGGTAGTAACTTTTCCTGACCCAGGCTGGTTAACTTCATTCATCCGTCCCCCGCATAGTCCTGCATG